TGGAAGAGGAATTGTCAAGAGCAGAGAGCTTGTTGGATAAATTCTACAAACAGTTTCCAGACCTCTACAACAAAGGATCTTGTGGATTGAATTTTCACAATGTTGGTGCACATTACGCTTTTTATGTGAGGCAATGGGGCCCTTTATGGTGTTGGAGCTGCTTCCCATTCGAGGATGCTAATGCAGCTGTTTTAAGTTCAGTTCATGGTACCGGCGATGTGACATGTCAGTGTGTTAAGGTCAAAGAGCTTCAGTTAAAGTTGAAAAACATAGAACTTGATCGTATGAGAAATGAAAAAGAAAAAAAATTCTTTGGCAAGATGATTGAATCTGGACGTTCATGGAAGATGACTGTCATGAAGAACTGCAAGGTGACTGGACGCCACCAAGTTATCAGTCAATGTAGGGACATTGAGAAGATTTTGGAAGGCACAAACGCATCATCATTAGCAGAACTAAGGAAGGTACACCGAGTGCATGTAAATGGAGAAAAGCTCTACTGCAAAGAATACTGTCGCATGAAAAAAAGAATTTGTTACATAATGTGTACAAAGAATGGAGATATAATCAGTGTAGAGTATTTTGTTTTAAACATGAAGGGTGAAATTGTCTATGCCTTTGGTACTCTACTAAAGCCTTCAGAAAATAGCATCTTGAATGGAAAAAGTGGTAGGCATATCGTTCATGTCAACAGGACAGATGAAAGAATGATCATTCTTGTGGATGAAATTCAAGAGAAATTGTTTTACATGGAAATTGACAACAACATTTTTATTGCAAGGATGCCAAATCTGTTTGGACATTGTGTTTTCAAATGAATCAGCAAGTAGTTATACAAATTTATCATGAAATGACTGGAAATAGAGCTCTATGATGGCAGAACACTTACTGAACAGTTGGCTGAAACAAACTTGTGTGTTAATCTGTTAAAGATAGCATCAGTTGTAAGGTAAACAAAAAAAAAAAATGTTCAGCTGTATTTGTTTTTGTGTGGGATCATCATATGTTATATGAATTACTTGATATTTAATTTTTGATGTACAATGGAAGTTACTTTGGTTAACCATGGTTATTTTCAGGCAACCATGGTTTGATATTACCAAACTGTGGTTGACCATGGTCATTCCTTGAGCAAACATGGTCAGCAACAATGGTCAACCATGGTAATACATAATACAATGACCTTTACCCACTTTTTGGATCACGGTGTTTAGTGTTAATGTGATTCAGGCCCATTGGGTCTTTTGTTTTTTAATTTTATTTCTTTGTTAATTTAATTCACAGATGGTGTATTTTTTTATTTTATACTTGTTAAATAAAACAAAATTCACAGGTAGTAAAGGTATACATGTTTATTTTGTACTAGTCATATATCTTTTTGATATACATTTGTTAAAGAGATTAAAACATAACAAAACTCTGGTTTCCTTTCTTTTTTCAATAGCCACATTGCAAGCTGGAAAGTGCTTAAATTTGATCATGATAAAATTTATTAAACAGAAGAACCTTAGTTATGCATCTTTTCTATTATCTGATAATGGTAAGCTAAAAAAACAACAAATCTGAGCTATGTTGCTGTATTTAAACTACCTAGAGTCTACATGAGCTGAAGGAGTCTGGTTCTACGAACTGCTCCATGATGTCCAAGCTGATAGGCTTCATCATTTCCAGGATCATCAATGATTTCTTGGTCCATATACTGATCCAAATTTTCATGATGAATCACACAGGGATTGTGCAACACACATGCTGATATCACCAGTTTTGTGATTTCTGAAGGGTTATGTAGCATTACTTCTTTCAGACGACGAAATCTTCCTTTTAAATGGGAAAAACACCGTTCTACAGTTTGTCGAGCACTTGACACTTTTTTGTAAACCTGTTCTGTTGTGGAGACAAATTTCCATAATTCTTGAAGGGAGAAATAAGCCAATTTCTAGGCATTGTCTGCCAGACGAAAATGATTTGGAAGAAATAATGAACCATTTTCTGCCTTCAAGAATAGTTCAGAATTCCTTAAAACTCTAGCATCATGGGTACTTCCTGGCCAGCCACAATAGGCATTTGTTATTGTCAAATTGTTGTCAACAACAACCTGTAAATAATAAAAAATGACCTGTTAGCTATTGGTATGTTGTGCAATAAACAATGGGAAATTCAACATGCTATTTGTCAAAGTTATACATGTGTGAAATTGTTTGGATTGCAACATGTACACTGCAACTTATAAATTTCTGGTACTTGAAACCTAATAAGGTTTGATACACCTGCTTCATATGAATCCTACCTGTAGTTGAACTGAAGGGAAATTATTTCTGTTGTAATACTCTCTTTCACCACCAGGGGCACTTGCTAAACGGATATGTGTTCCATCGATCAAAATCACAACACCAGGTATTCCCACACTATCTTCAACTTCTCTTGCAATTTCTCTCTGTCTCTCTGCATCTGGCCACCTGATAACCTGTTCAAACCAATATTCGAAATACAATGTGAATTTTGGGGGAATATATATACCGTATAATCCCCATTAAGGGCACATCCACTAATAAGAACCCCCCCCCCCCTTTTTTTTATGGGGGATGAAATTTCCCTAAAGTCATTAGGCAACACACTTTGGCTGGAGTTTGGGTAAGACTTATGGCTTGGGCTGTCTTAATCAGTTAGAGGCCTCCCCATATCGGAATCAATTTTACTCTCACTAAAACTATCAAGTTCCATTGCTACAGTATGTTAGCAGAATGTTTCATGTTTTCATGTCTATTAAGGGAACCTATTAAAAAAAAATATGGTCTCAAATAACAGAACCCCCTTGTCCAATTACCAATAATTAACTACAAAAGAAATTTAGTACTTTTACTAATTTTAAGAAATAGCCGCATACCTGAGAGTGTAAATTGACAATGGCTTCAGTAACGGATGTAACAATTGCGTGCACAGTTGATTTTGACAATCCAAAAAAATGTGCACATTCTCGCATGCTCTGTTGGCTACATAGATAATTCAAGAAAACAAGAAGTTGTCTGGCTGGATTTGACGGTTGGCGACCCCCACGGAAGTCTTTTATCAAGTCATCCCTTATCCTCTCCAGGAGGCAGTCAAACATATCCCTGCTCAACCTGTAATGAGTTTTAAAGTCGTCCACATTTTCAGGTAGTATCATATCATTGATGACCTCCATATAGGTATTGATTTTCGGTACAGAGGAACGATTGGTCTTCTGCATGTGTAAAGCCATAATATACATCAAGTTCTTGTGTCGTAAAATAATCTCATCATCAGATTCACTGATAAAATCCATCAGTATCAGGTGCCTTGCTCTACTTTGCCATTTGGAGGCCGCCATCTTAACTAAAGTCTCTAAACTACAGTGCGTTCGATTTGCAACTTTACTGTCATGCGTAGTTGTCACTTCCCGGTTAGGCTATAGTTAGCGCCCGAACTGCACCATTGAAAACCCGCACATCCGAGTTAGGAACAGCGCCACCTACGTGGCTTTCGTCCGAGCTCGAGTGTGACGCAACAGTAGTACTAGTTCTGGCGCCAACTGCAGAAGCATTACCTGATGTGCTATTCGTAGCTTCCTGACTATTAAACACTTCGTTTATGGACAGTTCTGCAGAATTGTCACCATTCCTTTAGCGGACTTGAACACTTTTATCCGAGTTTTGTTAATACAATTTTTTTAGAATGGTTCTAGGCAGGCCAGCGGGAACACTGATACCCATCCGTTCTAACTCGTTAGTTAGTTGTGCACTGGTCCAGTTTTCGGGGTTGTTACCGTCATAAGGAGCAGGCCTAGGTCTTGCACTATTTTGCCTAGTAGAAGTACGGCGACTTCTAGAAGCCATAGTTCCTTACGATTACACAAATACGTAGCACACAGTTCCGTAAAGTTATTATGTAAACAGCATGGAGACTGGCTAGCTATAGTCCGTCAGAAAAGCATTAAATCCACTCGTGCATGGGGTCCACGGGCCATGAACGGCCGAAAACAACTTCTCACAAGTCTTCCAGTGGTGATAGTTTGTGAAAGTTTGTTCAGAATTATTGGCAAGTAGAAATTTTTGATGACCACGTAACAAGAAATTTGTGTACTGCTTCCAGCATCCCTAAACAAAGACTGGTCAGTTCTGTCCTAATGCGCAAGTCTAAAATGCCCGCATCAGAAATGGGGTCTATAAGGGTGACCCACTGACAAGCATCGGGTCCCATAAAGGGTAATCAATTACCACTCACAGAGGTCAGTGTTATTGAGAAATCAGTTGCGAGTGTCAAGTAATCATGTAATAAGTAATGGTAATAGAACATGTACATATGTGTATAAACCACATTTATTGACAACAATAAATTAATAATAATATCGCACTATCCAAAATTAATGCCAAACAACCGGAGTTCCCACAAACACGTCTGTGCCCTCAAACATCCCAACTAAAAAAACTCCCGAGACCAGGCTTTTCCCAAACTTAATCAAACACATAAAAGTGATCAATCTAAAGTAATTACACTAAATCTATCCAAACTAACCCCACATGACCTTAACTGTCTCTCTCACTCCGTCAGCTCTTAACAGACACATACCAGCTGGGGACACTGGACGATGGACTGCCCGACCCTATTTGTTTACAGATAAAATAATATGGTCATTTATCTTTAAACTCATTAATTTTCGATCCTGTACACTCTTCACGCTCACATTCCTCCCCCATTAAGTTCGACTGTCCACAAGCGTTAATCTCTACCGTAAATAATTCACTAAATAACCAATGTCAAGCTGAAACAAAATTATTAACTAAGAATATATGAGTACAATTCAGTTACTCTAGCCTAATTATACAAACATTATACAGTAGTTATTAGAATCTATTAGTCCATTGATAGAATTAAACTCTACTTTTGTTCAATTGTCCTTTTTCTTCACTCGCTTTTGTCTATAGGTTCTTTCAAACTCCTCTACAAGAGATTGTTCAACATTTTCTGGAGAAACCCAGGAATTGTCACCATCTCACTATGTTATTGCTAGCACTGTGTTCTACCTCAACACTATTATCAGTGTTTGAACTGGCATTAGTGATGTGTTCATCGCGTGTTGTATCATCTTTTCCGTCATTGTCGTGAAGTATGTCATCATCATCATCTTCGTCCGGTTCCAAATCCTTTTCGGGATTGACAAATGATTTCATCCTGTTGCTGTGAACTATCTTTGTTACACGTTTCCCATCGCATGTCCGTACTTGAAAGTTAACAGGAGGTGTTTTCGCAATTTCACAGGATCCACTCCAGGGGTGTAGTGACTTGGTTGATAAGCCCTTGGCAGTTACAGGAGCATAAATCCAAACCCTTTCCCCAATAACAAAGGGTGGTTCCTTAGAATGTTTGTCCGAATGTAGTTTCTGTTTTTGTTGTGCAAGCTCTGTGTTTTCCTTTGCTTGCGTAAATGCATGTTGAAGTTTATCTATCAAATCAATCTGATAGTCATCTGTCGAAATGTATCGCACTGTTGGCTGTGTTAGAGCAACATCGATGGGTAATTGGGCATCGCATCCATACATCAGATAGAATGGAGTTTCCTTAGTAGTCTCTTGTATGCTAGTCCGATATGCGAATAATACATGTGGAATAAAGTTGTCCCAGTCTCTCTGATGACTACACACATACATAGACAAAATTGTTGCCAGAATTGCGTTAAACCTTTCTACAATTCCATCTGTTTGAGGATGATAGGCTGTAGTGTGAACTTGTGACGTGTTCATGATTTTGCAAACCTCTTAAAAGACTTTGGACATGAAATTACTTCCACGGTCAGTTAATAGAACTCGTGGTGAACCATGACGACTAATGATATCCTCAACAAGGAACTTCGCTGTTGTGGTACCGTCCGCTGATCTAACAACTTTAGCTTCAGGCCAGCGTGTAAGGTAATCCAAGAACACTATGATATATCTGTTGCCTTTGTCTGATGGTGGAAATGGTCCCAACACATCAATTGCGACCCTGTCAAATGGTCCATCAACAGGTATGGGAAGAATAGGTGCACGTTGTCTGTTTTTCAGTGTTTTTTTAGTAGAACAATCAACACAAGATTTACACCAATGTTCAACGCGGAAGTGGATCAAATTTTGTATAAATGGTGGGTCTGGCCCTCAGGGGCCAATGTGATGAGGCCTAATAGGGGAAATTTAGTGAATTCTCTAAAATCCTACTTGTTCTGAAGGTATTACAGGATATAATCCAAATTTACTCTGAAACATCATCTGGTGAAGGAGAATAAAAATTGTGTACACAGTAGGCTTGGAGCCCCTGTGGCAAGAGAGGCATAGCTCTTCTGGAGAATTCTTTCAACTACCTCCTTCTCAAGGAACCACAGAATGTTGTTTAAATTTAGTTGTAAGCACCGTTTGGTAGAGGGGAATACATTTTCTATAAATACTGGTTCTAGATCTTGATCGTCAATGAAAAAATGCATATATTACTGGGCATTAGACATTGAATACAATCATGATACTTTAGTAAAGAATTTACCCTCGGGTCTGGTGCCAATACTTTGCAAATATTTAATTCTTGAGTAATTGAAATTTTTGAGATCCTAAAACTATAGCCAGGTGAGCAATACAAGCCCTCTAGGCCTCTTGTTTCGATAACGGAATGTTAAGGTATCTGTTACCTTAACCCTATTACCTTTAACGTTGTCACATTATGCTAACAGCTTTCCAAGATAAACACAAGTATCATCTCAGCTATTTCTGAGTTATTGATTGATTTTCACAAAATACATTGTATGATCAAAAGTTGTTGAATTCTAACTCTTTTTGCCCCTTTGGACTATTATCCGATACTAAAAATTTAAACGAGTATGAAATCTATTCTTTCCAGTGGATTTTAAATAAATTATTAAGTATGAGCAAAAATCTTACCGTTTTATAAATCATACGTACAGTACATTTTGTACCCTCCCCATGGGGAAATGTGAGACCCTGGGGCCTTAATATTTACAATTTCAGTGTATCAACTTCAGACTCTCCCATCAATGAACAGTATTTAATTCTACCAGTTATGGGTCTTGAGATGATTTTTTGAAGATTTTAATTTGACAAAACCCTCAGTCTCCTTGGGGATGTGAAAAACATTATTCACAATTAGGGTCACCTGTTGCCATTGACTTTTTGTGAAAAATTTCATTGAAATTGGTAAATAGGTTTTGGAGAAGTCGAAAATGCAAAAAGTGTACACGCTGTACGACGGACTACGAACAATGACGGACAAAAGGCGATCACAATATGTCACCAGGAGACTTCGCATACTGAATAAGGCCACACATTGATCTGATAACAGTTTAATTAAAAAACACATGAAACAGTCTCTGTCTCAATGTCCAAACGTATGACGATAAATCTAATTGATGTTCATTGCTTTTTATTTCTGTTCATCTTCCAGGGAAAATGTGAGCTCTTGTTTGATAATCATATGTTCATCTGCATAAATTGTTTCAGTTTACACATGCTCTGCAGTGAAAAGTGGCTTGTTTGCTGTGCCAAATGCTTTCGTCCGTAGCATGGCATCTGTCGTGATACCATACGCGACACAGTTCACACTTGATCATTGCTTCGCCTTCATCGGGATGTCTACAAAAGCAATGAATGCGGTAAGCTGTTGTCTTCTTAGATTTGCTGGGACGACGTCGATGACCATATGGGAACATTTCTATCTGGTTGCGTCTGAAACAATTTTAAAGATGTGTTCGCATAAGTGATTGGTCCCATATGTACGTCGTTGGGTCTTGGTCGGAACACAAAGCTGTAGTAGCGATAGCAAAGAGGCCACAATCAGCTCCACCCCTCTGTTGATGACATTCTAAATGTTGTAGAATAATTCTTAGTATGCAACATCGCTTTCCGTGTGATATTGATCAACCCAAACTGTCGTAAACATCCTCTACGTTTGCTAAGGTTTTATTACTTCCTACTGTAACCCAATGATTTTCGTTTACATTTAGAATTTGAACAAATTGACTTTGCATTTTGTCAATATTATTTTTGTCTGAAACCTGAAAAAGCAAACAGCTTTTTAATCCAAAGATCCCAGGAAACTGTTCTAAGAGCATAGCCTGTGCTTTATCTATGATAATGTCGTCAAGCCATGTCCCTGGAGTTCATGTTTTCTCTTCAGTGGAAATTTTAGGTGAAATAGTTTGTAAGAAATCTTCGTCTGAGGGACAGTTCAATAGAGCGTTCTTCTGCTTTAGGGATGTTAATGTTGTCAAGCGAATCCCCCTGGAGCCAAAATTGTCTCTTTACTAGAAATTCCATGTGTTGTGTTTTTGTTCGACTTTTTAAAGAGGTAATTTCATATGGACCTAACGACAGTGGTGATAACACATCCCCTTTCCTCCCATCTTTCTTCAAAACTTCCTGACCTACTTTGAAGTTGAAAGACTTACAACCCATATTTTCCTCTCTCTGTATTGTCTTTTCTGCTTGCGCTTTCTCGATGTTTTCTCCAATCAATTTATACATAGATAAAAACTTGTCTTGCCTCCTATCCATCTGGTCCGTTGTGATTTCGTCCGGAGGAAATGGAACATCATCACTCGAATCTTCCAGTTCTCCAAACATTCGAGCTCTTCGGACGAACATAGCCATAAAAGGCGTGCACTTAGTCGAAGCTTGCTGACTTGTTCTTAGTCCAAACATGACCGGACTGATGAATTCATCCCAGTTTGATTGGTCGTCGTTGACAAGCTTTGATAGTGACCGCTCAATTGTCTGGTTTGTGCGTTCGTCTTGTCCGTTTGTTTGTGGTTGGTAGGCTGTTGTAATCAAATGTTTTACGCCACATAACACGAACAACTGCTCATTAAGTTCATTTACAAACTACTTCCCCAGGTCTGTAATAACTTTTTGCTGGGGGGCCAAAACGGAAAAAGAGCTCCCGTAGATGAAGGGCAAATGCCACCTGCCTTCTTTCGATCCATTTGCTGAATAGGTTGGTAATGGTGAGGCAATACATGTTTTCCTTTTCGGTTAATGGAAGGGGGCCAATCAGGTCAATACCAAGTATTTCCCATGGCTCTGACGGTTTTATGGGAATCATTTCAGGCGTAGTGGTTTTGATTTTTTCAAATTTCTGACACTTTTCGCATTCCCTTATCTGTGAATGAATGAAATCCGTCATGTTGTCTCAATAGTAGAGGGAACATACGTTGTCTCTTGTCTTGTGCACCATGTGCTGAGGCATGACGGTCCTGAAATATTGTCCTTTTCTAATTTATTCGTTATCACTGAGAAATTTACCTGCATAGTTGTACCGCAGTGCATTTCCATGGATACAAAATTTGGCACAGTATCGTCGAAATGCATATTTCTGTCCTTTCTTTTGCAATCCAGCTGGATAGACCACTTTTTCAACATAAACTTTTACATCAGATAAACTGTAGTGTCCAGATTTCGTCATCTACAATAATGGAAATGCAGAATATATATATATATATATATATATATATGTATAGCTATAGTACTTACATTTTCCTAAGCACCATATAAGAATAATATTTTAAACACAAACGTTAGTAGGAATATTGTTTGCCTTATATTTTGGACATTACCATTTGTCAGGTGTGTGTGCCCAATGAACCATAAAGCGCACGGACGTCTTTTCCCCACGTTGCTAAGGTCAAGCAGATCGGCAATAAAAATTACCGTAACTGTCTAGTAATTTAGATACCGATTATAAATTCGGCTGAAGTTGGGGACAATTGGGTTGAAAAACCTTATAAGGCCTCAAAGTGTATATGGGTTAATAAAAATTGAACCGTTTCAAAAGTGCGCTTGTCTTATATCTCACTTTGGACAAAGTCAGAATAGCCTACCTAGTGTCTTAAAACTTACTTAAAACCTTTCTGTATGCAGACATAAACAATAAATATCCAATAAATATATGTAACATTGTTCTGGCAATACATCGCATACATGTGGATTCATTTTATTTCGTGGGTGTCCAATTTTCGTTGTTTTCTTTGATGAGCAAATCCACGAATTAAAAAAACACAACGTAATATGAACTACATACTAAAGTAATTTTGGAATTTGACCAAGTAATCTTTGCCGACAACGGAAACGTCCACCGGTAATTTGAGTATCCATGTCCACTGTATTTGTTTTCCATGCTGGTGAAGAAAATAATGTGTAGATTGTTCCAGAAGTTATATTTCTTTAAAAATATGAGGATATATTCTGTTTTTGATGCAGACTCCATCTCATATCTCCGTCTCTTTCAAATGAACAGAAACCCCGTAATCAGTCGGGAATCGGGTAGTCTGAGGCTCGATGTGGAAACGCTAAATTGGTGACTACGATATATAATTAAATGAGCTAGCTTTTCCAGTTGTGCATATAACAAATCAGGGTAATTACTCATGGTGATACTAAGTATGATGGGATCAATTGTCTATTCTCGCAGTCGTTAGCGACACTGTAGTCACTAGGCTTGATCGGACCATCCTGTCGATTATTTATTGAGGCATGCGGTGACACAACCACGTGACTGGTTAGTATTCTCAATTTCCTCAATTCCTCCAGATTGATATTATTGCTGGCGAAAATGTAGTTTCCATGCTGATACTGATATGCAGCGTTAATAGGCTGGTCATACCATATAAAAATACTTGAATGTTCGTGTTCAATATCCCTTGGTCAGCTTTGCGTTCGAGAATACAGTACTATAAGAGTAGTCTCCCTTGCCATGCACACATGTACAC